GGCGTGCAGCTCCGCGGGCTTGCGGTCTCTCTCCTTCCCGGTCCCTTTCCACTTGACACCAAACGCCATTACTGAGGTGGAGTGATTTGGAGCCGTAGAGCTAGGCCTCGGCTACGCCTGGCTATCGGGCCCGACTACTTGTCCGCCTCCCCCCACCCTCCCACGATAACCCTCCGCTTTTCCTGGGCTCTGTGGTCTGGGAGTCGGAGGCGGGTTATCGGCCGCCTCCACCTCCCTCGCCCCCGTTCATTTACCAAGGGCCAAAGCTGCGAGAGATGTTTTGATGCAGAAAATCGCTTCCAAACGAGCTTGGACCCACCACCTTTCTATTTTTAACTGCTTCTGCAGAAAAAAAAATACATATGTGTGTGTGTGTATATACATATATATATAACATGGGCGAGTTAATGATAAAACCTTCAGATTCTTGTGATGTGAGGCTTCGGGTTTGAAAAGTGGTGTATTTTTCATTCATTGTGAAGTATTAAGTTAAAGAGTTAACGGAGCAGGTGTATGCATGTTTTGTAATATTTGTATGGATTTCTGTTGGCGACTGGGAGTTTTACACGGGGCTTTTTAATATCTCCAGTAGAACATTCTAAAATTAAACATTTTTTGGAAGTTGCATAGTTATAACGTTAATAGGATTTTCCATCGTGCAGTTTACAGGTGTGTGTAATTTCTTCAGATTGTCTTTGAATTTAACTGAGCGAGTTGTAGATGTAGGTTAAATATTCGTGCTTTATTTTAACGATGGAGGGGCGGGGTAATTGTGGCATTCTTTGACCTGGAAACCCATGAGTCCCCATAAATCTACATAAGGTTTGTATATCTTAACTTTTGAGGAAGAATCTGGGGTGCATTGATCTGAAAACTTTTCAGCAGGTACTCAACCCTCTCTTGGAGCTCATTATCTATTCCTGGTGATTATATGGTAAGAACTCGTTAATCATGACTAGCTTGGTTTTTTCTTAATCTGTACACTTAAAAATAGAGACTACAAACTCCTTTAGATCTCACTGGTCTACTGATTCAGTGGGCTGCCATTTTGGTTTCAGCAAATGCCTTCCTAGTTCTGGAAGATTTATGTATTATATATATACAAAGATGTCAGCATTTGTTTTCTCTATTTTAAAACTCATGTGCTTTGTCATACTTGTCACTTTAACCCTTTAAGCTTTATTATTTGGATTAGAGGGAAAACCAGAGGTATTTGGAATTGATGTACCAAGGGCAAACTCAAAATGTTTCTTATATCCTATGTTTTGCTTTCTCTCATTTAAAAATAAGACATTTGAACTAAGCATATTTTTTCCTCTCTAGCCTTTTCCCTATATTTTTTTCGCGAACATTTAACTTAACAATTCTTAATGTGTTATCTTAATGTTCTTATGCTGTTTCTTCCTTTTGTTTGCTGACCTTGGTGGCTTCTGGGAGGGAGAATTTCTGGAGGGATTAAATAACAGCAAGAACAGTACATGTGAGAATCTAAATTCTTCAGAAAGTAACTTTGAAAGGCAGATTTTACCTTTCACCAAATTGCTGGAATTTCTCAATGTTCCATAGTTTTCTTGTTTTAATCAATGGAACGCTTCAGTAGGATTTACTTTGGTCTCTTTTTTTTTCCCCCAGGATCTTGAAATAAATTTTCTGACATTTCAAGATGATGAGAGATTTAATGGCTGTCTCCTCAAAGATAATTTTTCTTTGACATGATATTAATAATGCTGCTTAGAGTTTTTGAAAATGGATGTTTCTCGTGAATTTGCCAGTCATCAAGTTCTTGATTAGTTGGACACAAACAAGCATTCTTTAGCTTATTTTTTGTTTCATATGGTTAATTTAAAAACTAACAGTTTGTACTTTAGTTTCAGAATTTTAATATTGAAATGAAACTTTGTTTCAATCAGGTTAAAGAAAGTAGTTTGAAATATATAGAGGTGTGTGTGTTAAAGGATTAGTCCTTTTTAAGTGTTTTGGGCAGTTATGGGGTGGGAGGAGTCTTATTCTGTGATTTTGAGCTAGTTGATTAAAAAAAATTATGTGAGTTTCAGACGTACAGCATTCTAACTCTTTCTTAAACAAAATAATGGTTTTATGATAGCCTGCATTATCTTTCCCCTCCATTATGTTTCGTCTCGTCTGTGATACATTTTCTGAATCTTGAAATTTTTTCCCCCAAAATTGAAAAACAGGGTTTTAGTTTCTGTTCAGTTCTTTCAGGAGCTGTGTCTTTGGAAGTGAAGCTATCGTATTTATTGCTAAGTTCTTTTCTTATTTTAACATAGTCTAACATTAATATTTGGAAAAGGGTTAATACATTAGACCTCAACCCTGACTGCACATTAGACTCTCTTGGGGGAGTTAGAAAAAATACTGATGCCTGGATCCCACTACCGGAGACTTGTTAATTGGTCTGATATACAGCTTGGGCAGAGGTATATTTTTAAAAAGCATTATGGGTGGTTCTCGTGCAGAGTTGAAAACCACTTTGTTATTGCTGTTAGCATGTTTTTATTGCATTTTCCAGTGGATAAATAAGATGATTTTTCTCTCAATTGTTTTCAATTATTGGTATAATTGTCATTTGCTAAGAATTATGTACCAGCACTATGTTAAACACTCCATTTATCACCTTATGTGGATAGTGTTATTTCTAATAAACAAATGAAGGACTGAGGTCTGTCAGGTTCAACTAGTGGTGCTTTAACTGCTCTGCCATGTTAGTGAAATGACACTAATTACTATTAAAAAAATTTTTTAGAACTTTTGCTTTGTTTCCTGTCTGAGGGGCTTTAGATTAAAATTTTAATCCAAATGCGACAGTAGTCTGCAATTTGGGAAATAACTTGATTGACCAAGGGAGATGGCAAAGCTTTGCAACAAATAGGTTCTTCTCTTCCCATATGTCTCCCAACGTGTTCAAGTTGATAGTTTAGTTAGTGGTTCTATTTATGGCTAAAATAATGTTAGGCAACTTAATCTAAAAGATGCAAAATCCAGGCATTTGTTTCCCAGTAATTTAAATCACCCCGTAAGTGAACATTTAGTATCATGTAAATTTCTATTATCTCAATTTGAGAATTCTGAATTTCATTTAGCTTAGTTTAAAATCTGTACTTTTCATCAAAAGTTTTCAAAAAGAAGGGTTATTTATGTTGCATTTTTTCAGGATTGATTATTTTGTGGAATGGATGAAATACTATTAACACCTTTATTTGCTGTTTGTATCTCTTAATTCCCTCGGTCTATTGTGCTAAATTCTATATTGGGGGAGGGAAGCCTGCTAATGTAGAATCTATGAGCATTCTTAATGTGGCATACGATTTGTTAGTGATCTTTGTTAAATTAATGATCGCTGTAGTCCTCTTTTCTAGGCTATAAAATATAAGGAATAAAAACCTCATGAAACTTCTGATACTTATGTATATTGGAGTTTGAATTTATCATTCAGTTATTAGTGTTGAACATAAAGTAATGACCAATGTAACATAGTTTTAAGAAATGAGGTGTGGAAAAGTACATCGTTAAGATGAGATGTCTTACCTAAATTTATTCTTCAGATGTGCCTATGCTAGTCTTTTGGGCTTCAGTACACTCTTACACACTAAACATGAAGTATTCGGCAGCAAGTGGGTTTCCAATTACATTTTCAGCAATGATTTTCTAGTTCAGCTGTGTATCACAATCATCTGTGCAGCTTTTTCAAAATGTATTTGCTTAGGTCTTACTCTTTGGAGATTATAATTGAGTAGGTTTCAAGTGGGAACTGGGCATTTAAAAAAAAACTCAAAAGATGAATTCTGGTATGCAGCTAGGTGGGTTTTTTTGTTTTTGTTATGTTTTGTTTTGTTTGCAGTTTATTTTAGGGAAAGGGGAGATCTGGGACTCTGAGTTTTGTGCCCTATCATTAGGCAGTAATTATTCTTACTTTGGTTTTGTTGTTCACAATGCTAAAATTCTAGGGACAAATGTAGTGAAAAGTTCAGGCACTAGATTTAATAGTTGGGAGGGACTGGGATTCCACATAGAATTTTATGTATATGGTGCATGTGCCCTCCCACCCACTCCAGACACACAGTATATTCATTGTCTCTTACTGAGGACCTTCTTAGAGTTAGGCTTCCAGCTCTAATACTAACATTATTAATATCTGTTAAGGCATCATTTTCTTTTTCATCCGTTCATCAAGTATTTATTGGGCATCTACCATATGCCAGACACTGTTCTAGAGATTACTGTTGTTTAGAAGCTTATGTTATATGAAGTGAGGTCTGCACTATTGATCTCTAAAGTCCTTCCTAGCTCTAATTTTGTTCTTCATTGTGCTTTATAGAAAGGGACTAAATTAAGTTGCTATAAGTAATACACCTAGTTATAAGCCAATGAAACTTTCCTTTTACTTTTCGTTTTCTTTAAATAAGTTAAGTAGAATTTCCTTCTAAACTCCAGGCTTCTCCAGTGAACCCAAATATCAGGTACAGGGGAAATAGATTCTTTCAGAATTCTTGCATGTTGGCTTTAGAAATAGCTGTACTTAATGGTACTTCTAATTTTGGTCCAGTAATTACATTGTCTGGTGTCACCTGTTTCTCCTCCCATTCCTTTTCTGTATTGATGCTCTGTCAGTAATCTCTACACTGTGTGTTTTTCTGTTTTACTTATTTTGTTCAGATGGCTTGATTAGTTTTGTCCTCCACATTCTTTTAGGATGGTGGCATCCATCTGGTCAGACTCAAGATCCTAAGTCACTGATAACATCCCTAGCACCTAGAAAGTGCCTGGCACATAGACATTCAGTAATTAATTGTTGAT